ATATCAAGAAACGGTGATGTGCACGGCGAAAAATAATTTATAATAGATTGTTTTATCATGTGCATAGTTGCCGCACGAAAGTAGTCCCCAAGGAGGAGGCTTATTGCCCGTGGCTACCGGCAATTGGGGATGCGGGACTAGATTGAAAGGCGATCCGCAACTGAAACTCGTTATTCAATGGCTCGCTTCCTCTCTAGCAGGAACACCAAGATTAATCTATTACACCTCTGGCAATTCCAATCTATCCAAGGTAAAGGAAATGATATTATTCTATTTATTCTCTAATCAGGATATTTACTGATTAACTTTGTAAAAAAATTCCGTGAGAATTCCTCGATTTTTCAGATATTTTTGAAATTCCAGGTAATAGAGATTAGAGAATTTTTCAATCTAATTTTGAAATAAATTAGAGTGCAAACAACTTAAATCTTCTATTAATTTCCAAATAAACTATATTTGAAAATTAGTAGAAGACAAGCACTCCACAAATCTAGTATATAGGAAAGAGTACTGCGATATATACAGCATTTTAATTAGCTATTCTATTCTGCAGAGTATTATTTTCTATTGTCACTTTTTCTTATAAACTAGCGAGACACACGAGAATGTATGTAAATATACATAAATGTGTCATATTTATTGCTAATCAATATTCTGTTATCGAGAAAAAATTATAAAAAAACGTTTTCAGAAACAATTTAAACTTAAAAAATAAAATTGCAAACATTTCTCCGAATTCTAATAAAATTTCATAGAAATTCCTGAACTTTTTAAATCAAGGATAAAAAAGAATTTCTCTAAAAATTTCAGATTTTTCCAGATAGTAAATATCCTACTAATGATAATTCAGTCATTCACATAATGATAATTCATTTACATTTATATTGGATTATATAATCCAGCATTTAACTATAGCAGCATATTATAATTAATTTTGACAATAAAATAATATTATTGGGAAAAAGTTCGTGGCGTTTTTCCCGTTTTACATCTAATGGGAAAAACGCCACGAACTTTTTCCCACACCTAATATTAAATTCTATTAAATAACGTGACAATATTATTATTGACTATTTAACCGTTTAAAATATTTATATGCTTTTATATTTAACTTTACTAATTTCATGTATAGCAGCTTTTTATGTATTAGCAGCTATTTATGTATATTAATCTAGTATAGTGCAAGTGATTGAATTCGCTAATAACTATTCATCTAAAATTTCAATTTCAGTTAGACACTGTGAGCAGAGTTCTGATAGACAGACGTTGGTCGGTGGGTGATCTTGCCGCCGCGACGCTGAGGTATGCTATGCACGCGATCGAGGAACGGATGGCAGGAAAGAATAGTCTTTTCGAGGAGATCATCGGGATGGATAAATCGAGTCCTTAGCCCGATTCGATGCTGTCCGTTCTGGTGGACGTGTTAGCTACCATGATCGAAGACAGCCTACTGAAAAACTAATAATATATTACATATATATCTCTTCCGAGAAAGGAACATACAAAAAGAAAAGAAACGAACGGGTACTTGACTGTAGTAATAAGATCGATAATTAATTTGTAATCTTAGATGAAACATGTTATACGAGTTTCATTTTGGCGAAAGAGAGATTGATTCAATTTTACTTTTCTTCTTTTTTGTTCGAATTACTACTCTCCTCTAGCATATCAAAATGATATCAGGCAAATTCGCACAATTCATTGTACAAGGCAATATATCAAATAGAAAAAAATAGTCGCTGCGATATTTTCTATAGTCTATGTATGTAGCGTATCGTGCTGTCGAATCATTATATTATAGGGATCATCTGTGTCACATTTCCGCAAGGTAATGGAGAAAAAATAGCGTGATATCTCGGAAGTTCAGTTGTTATTAATGTCACGTCATCGTAAGAGAACGTGACAAACTCTCTGCAATTAGAAATCCTATAAATAAGAATTTGGCCAAAGCGAATAAAAAATATAAGATAGATAGTTATCTTTTTTTCTTCTTTTTCTCACTTTCTCTCACTTTGCGAAAATGTACGAACTATACATATATTGAATGGATCATAAGAGATGATCAATCAAAAGACTGATTCACTTTGGCCAGACTTTTATTACAGGATCTATCTGTAATCATAACGGTCTAGTTATGTACGAAAGGTCAATTCTGGTTTTACTTCATACAGAATGAGTAACTGATAACGCAGTTACATGCAATAACTAATGAGGCACAATATACTATATTTTGTACAATAATATTTTTAAGTCATTCTATATTTTAAGTCGGAGATATATATGCGTAATATGCGAATAGATTTTTAGAAAGAGAAACTTTTAGTATTTTATAATAAAAGATTATAATATATAGGCAATTTTTTTATGAAAGTAAAACTTGTGTGTATACACAAGTCGCTACTATGAAATCATAAATTGGAATATAAAGAGTAGGTAATATATGGCCTACAAAGGAAAAGGTATGCTTGGTAGTATGTAAATCAATTAAAATGAGGTCTTCCATTATTAAAGCAAAACGTGTGAAAGTATCCTATGATTTGTATATATTCTCGCT